GCTCAAGGCCCAAAGCCACACTTACTTCTGATGGGAGGGGTAAGCTGCTGCCAGCTTGTCCTATATGCTCTGGTCATCAGGCAGAGCCAAGGAGGGGCACAGATTTGGAAACTGTCAGTTGGATTCTGTTCTTTTTTTTTTCCTTTTTGTCTTTTTTTACTGACCGATAACAGGATCGCAAACCTCAGTGTTGCGCCCGCACCGCGCTCAGCCAGTGAGTGGGAACCGGTCTCCACATGGGATCCGAACCCTCAGCGGGAGCGCCGCCGCGCTCCCAAGCGGCGCACTCTCCAGTGCACCACCGGGCCGGCCCAGATTCTGTTCTTGACCTACTGGATGGATTTGGGAGTTTCTGGAGCTCCCTGGGCCTCAGTTTCCCCATGGGGATGCCACCAAGTGCCCATAGTCAGGGACACCGGACAACTAGCAATCACCTCAGTGGCTTGGTCTGTAAGACCTGCCCTTCTCAGATGAGGACACTGAGGCTGGGGGCCCTGGGAGTGCCCAAGGCTCGCTGGTTTCATCTGGTTACTTGGCCATGCAGACTGTGCCTCCAGGGAATCCACATGACTTGCAGGAAATCGCCCTGCCCCGGCTGGGCTGGGGGCTCTGTCTGAGCACAGGAGTCAGTCTGTCTCTCTGTCCACCCAGCCCTTGGTGTTCCTGTGCAGGGCCAGGGAGGGGCCCCCTCAAGGGGCAGCTCTAGGGGCTGTGGGCTGGGTGGGCCGAGCTGTTTCTTGCCTGCCCCTCCCTCTTGAATGAGGCCGGGGAAGGAAGGAAGGGTTTCACTTTCAGTCGGGAGAAGCTCGGGAGAAGCTCAGCTGGAGGGAGGCCAGTTGATCGCAGGCAGGCAGGGCCCCAGGCGCTGTGGTGAGCATGGCCTAAGGACCCCAGGTGGTTTGAGGGCATGAGGACCCTGGGAGGGTAAGACACAAAGCCTCTGGTGGGTGTGGGGGCTGGTCCAGGGCGGCCGGGATGGGGGCACCTCTTACCCCTTCCCGACAGGCGAGGAGCCGACCATGATCTCCTTCCTGGGGGACTTGTTCAGGAAACAGCTGGTGGGGAACACGCAGGTGAGGGCTGCTGCCCCCTCCCACCCTCCCACCCTCCCACCCTCCTCCCCAGACAGGCCCCTCACTGTCTCCCTCTCCCCAGCGCAACCGCGGAGAGGGACTGCAGCTGCCCCTGGGGATCTACATCGCCCCCATAGTCCTGGCCTTCCTCGCCATCCTGGCTGTGGCCTGTCACTGCCTCACAGAGGTGCCTGCCCTGCCTGCACCCTGCCCGCGGCACCCCTCCTTGTGCTCGGCTCCCGCCTCATGATTCTCTGTGCTCCCCAGGCCTGGAAGTCCAAGTGCAGGGCTCGCTGCCAGGCCTGGAGGAGCCCTGGCCCCGGGGAGGGCCTGCAGCTCGTGCTCACTCACAGCCCAGGTGAGGGGCGGCCAGGAGCCCCCTCTGTGGAGCCGAGTCGCTCCTAGTTGCCCACCCCACTATCCTCTGAGGGCCCTTGTTCCCAGTTCTTCAGAGAAGGAAGATATATGGGCAAGTGCTCAAGACTGTCAGTTAATATTGACTGAACCACCCTGCAGGGGAAGGCAGGCAGGAGAACGCACTGGGACACCGAGCTGTAGCAGCAGCCTTTCTTGCATGGGGGGATGGGGTGTCCCAAGGGAGAGCCAGGGGCTGGTGGGCAAAGTGGGCAGCTCCAGCCCTGTGGCCCTCGAGGGTTGCTGGTGAAGGTCAGGTCATGCAGAGGCAAAGGGCTGGGCACTGCCAAGTAGATGGCAGACACTGGGTCCTCCTCAAGTACCCCCACAAGGCATGGCTCTGTCCCCAGCCTACCCCCAGGGGATTACCCCCTCCCTCTCCCATGCAGAGCTCTGAGCTCTGAGGCCCATGCAGGCCCCTTCCCAGGACCGTGGGGAGAGCCACTTGGGCCCCCATGCAGCGCCCAAGTCTTCCTGCCTTAGGCCGGGCAGTATGGGAGATGGGAGCATCACAGGAGCTTGTCTGGGAACACAGAGCTGGCAGGCACAGAGTCTTGCGGGTCATTGCAAGCCAGGGTACTTCCACAGGCCAGCTCCCCCAGACCCAGGGAAGCTGTTCCCCTGGAAGCCTGGGATCCTGAGGCCCTTACTGGGTCAGGGAGGGCAAATTAGTAAGGGAGGTGGGTTAGGAGCTATGCAGGCAGAATTCCAGGATGGGCCACGGTTCCTGCCCCTTGGAGTCCACCTGCTCTGTAATCCCCTCTCCTGGAGTGTGGACCTGACCTGGGAATGTAATGGATGTTTCAATGGTGAAGGGATTTTTGCAGATGTAATTAAGGTCCCTAACCAGTTGACTTTGAGCTCATCAAAAGGGAGATTAACCTGGGTGTGTCTGGCTTGATCAGGTGAGCCCTTTAAAAGACTGCAAGTAACAGAGGTGCCCTCTCTGGCTGGCGATGAGGCAGAGTGTGATTTCTATGGCTGCCAGGAAGGGAATCCTGCCAACCACCACGTGAGCTTGGGAGAGGACCCCAGGCTCAGATGAGACCCAGCCCCGGCTGACACCTTGATTGCAGCCTTGTGAGACCTAGAGCGAGGACCCAGCTCAGCCGTTCCCAGACTCCTGATTCACAGAAACCATGAGATAATAAACGAGTGTCATAAGCCGTTGAGTGGTGGTGACTGTTCCGCAGCAGTAATGTGTACTGGGGGGGAGAGAGGTGGCGGGTCTGAGGCTGTGCCTATTAGAGTCTGAAGCCCTGGGACTTCAGATGGGGATGGGGCGATCGGTCTCCCTGGGGAGCTGGACATCTTGTATTGGCCATACAGGCTGAGGAGGCTGAGGAGGCAGCCACACAAAGGAAAAAAGGCTGATAAAGCAGTGCGGGAAAGCAGTCGGGACTGGCAGTGCCTGCCTGAAGCCAGTGGCTGCCCTGCCCTTGGTGGGTCCCCAGAGATCCCCTTGGGTACACCTGGCTTCTGGTCCTTGAACCAGTGGTCATACCTGATACCAGGAGAGGACACCTGGGGCAGGTGTTGTGTGAGGGGATTTGCATTTTAGAATGTCCACCTCCCCATGTGTATTAGTCAGGGTTCTCCAGAGAGATAGAATTAATAGAATATGTTATAATTATATGAGAGGGATTTATTAGGGGAATTAGCTCACGTGACTATGAAGAAAAGTCCCACGATAGGCCATCTATAAACTGTAAGCTGGTAGCATGGCTCCGTCCTGGAACCCAAAAGCAGAAGAGTCTCATTGTAGCTCACGCGACTATGAAGAAAAGTCCCATGATAGGCCCTCTGCAAACTCGATGCCAGCAGCGTGGCTCAGTCCAAGTCCAAAGGCCTCAAAACCAGGGAAGCTGATGGTGTCCTTGGTGTAAGTCCTGGAACCCAAAAGCTGAAGAGTCTCAAGCTCTGATGTCCACGGACAAGAGAGAAGAGTGTGTTCCAGCTCCAGCGGACAGAGAGAGAAGGGAGAGAGAGAGAGAGAGAGGGAGGGAGGGAGGGAAGGAGGGAGGGAGAGGGGGAGAGAGAGAGAGAGACTCTCCTCTTCTTTTAAAGCCCTCAGACCACCATTTTTAATCCAGTCACTACTGCACAGTCCTACAATCCAATCACCTCTTCAAGGCTCCAACATTCAATCACCATAATAGGATTTCCCACCCTCTTAACAGTCACCGTGGGGGCTAAGTTTCTAATACATAAAACATGGGGGATACAATTCAAGCTTCAATGAGTTTTGGGGGGACATAATTCAATCCACTACACCGTGCTATTGTTGGGAAGGATTGTAGAGAAGGGACGCTGGAGGCAGAGAGGTGGCTTTGGACACTGCTGCGGTCACACACGCCAGTGGCTGGGCCCAGGTGAGCCAGGGGCTGGAGGATGGAGATGCTTACTAATACAGGGATTGACTAAAGGGTATCCGTACTATGCTAGTGCCTTACCTGGATTCCCCAAATCCTCCCAGCACTAGACACACAAGGGAAAGAAGCTGGTGGAGGGGAAGGACTGCCCATGCGTACAGGGCTTCTTTTTGGGGTGATAAAAATGTTCTGAAATTAGGGGTGACATTCACACAAATCTGCGAATACACCGAATTGTACACTTTGAATGGGTGTATTGTGTGGTATGTGAATATATTTCTTTTTTTTTTAAAAGATGACCGGTAAGAGGATCTCAACTCTTGACTTGGTGTTGTCAGCACCACGCTCAGCCAGTGAGTGAACCGGCCATCCCTATATGGGATCCGAACCCGTGGCCTTGGTGTTATCAGCACCACACTCTCCCGAGTGAGCCACAGGCCGGCCCATGTGAATATATTTCAATAAAGCTGTTATTAAAAAAGAAAGAACTAGGCAGTTGGCGGGCACTGACAGCAGGTGGGATGTGGGGACAGGCAGGGTGGCATCGAGGATGACCTGTGTGGTGGTGCAGCAGACAAGACAACAGGAGGACGGTCCCACGGGAGATCCCAGCAGGGCCTGGGAGGCAGCTGGACACCCAGGTCTGGTCTGCAGAAGAGAGGGCCAGGCTGGGGCCATAGACTGACAGCCCCTAAACCCCAAAAGTGGATTAGCATAAATGGGCTGAGACCCAGCCCTCAGAACACCAACCATGACTTTACAAGGTTGGGCAGGGACGAGGAGCCCTCGAGGGAGGCTGGGATGGAGAAGCCAGAGGAGCCGCCACTGGGAGGGATGAAGGAGGGACAGTTGGTGGCTGAGGGTGGGCTCTGAGAAGCACTTGCTGACCTTACTGACAAGGGGTCCTTGTGCCACTCTGACAGAGGAGATGCAGACAGGAGGCTGGGCTGGGACTGATGGGGAATGGGGCCCACCTTACAGCCTTGGGGACAAGGATAGAGCTGGCCACTGCCCCCCAGTTTCAAAATTTGAGTTCCTTGTTGATATTCTGCTACTCCTTGGGAATTGTTTGTTTTAAACTTTGTGAGATGTTTTGCACTGTTTGCCGAGGGGCACAGAGACACACAGTAGTGGCACGTGGTACAGATGTAATAAAATAGCGTTTATTGGGGGACTGATGAGCAGAGTGAGGCAGGGAAGGAAGAGGTGCCACACTGCACTGTCACCGAGGGGGCCCGGCTGGGCTGCACGCTCCACGGCCAGCTTTGCTCTGTGACAGGGACAGGGCAGGGGACATCTAGGTGCGTCTGGAACCCTGAAGGAAGTGGACTTGTGAGGGGGAAGGCTCACGGGCTATCAGCCTCTTGCCATGGCTGAGTGGCCTTGGGGCAGGAATGGGTGGCCATGAAGCCACCCAAGGCAATGGCAGTATCCAAATTCATGTCTGTCTGGGAGTCTGCAGTCCCAGCAACGTGCACCACCCGTCAGTCCTCTAAGGTCAAAGCAGGGTGGGAGTGAAGTGTGGGAGCGAGCAGGGGAAAGAAGAGGGAGACCATCTATGCCCGACTGTCAGTGATCAACTCTGTTCTTCCTGCACCTCTCCTCATGCCCCACGCCGACGTCTGGGTACCCAGAGCCCAGACAGAGGGACGGGGCATGGCCACATGGTGGCAACTGGTGATGAGAGAAGATGCCAGCCCTGCAGTGGCTCCCCAACTGCTGCCTGTGGAGGCGGCAGGAGCAGCGGACGGCATAGGCTTTGCAGGCGACAATGGCTGCGTGACTCATGGCATTTCTCTCAGGGTGTCTGCGCCCTGTGCAGAGCTTCCCTTTCCACGATGGGCCTGGCCGGAGACCCAGCAGGCAGCAACACAACCTGGACTGTCCTTTTGAGTCCAGGTGCCTTCCTTCCGCTGTGGCCACCTTCCATGGCATGCACCTGTGTGACATGCAGATGGAGCCTGGGACTGAGGTGCCATGTCTGTTCCCACGGGGCCGCATTTCTAGCCTTGGCCGTGAGTCTGGCCAAGGGTGGTTTACTCAACCTCAGGGCAGGATGCTTCACGGCCAAGACCACTGCCCCAAACGTAGCCACATGTCAAGTGTCCAGTACTGCGGGCCATCAGAAAATGACAGATGGGCTGATTGAAGGACAGCTGTGGCACTGCCTGGGGGTGTGTCACATCGTCACATTGATGGGGTATCTTCGGGCAAGTCTGGTGGGAACCACAGTCAAGGTCAAGTAATGGGCAGGGCTGATGAACAAGGACAGTTACCAGTCCAGGAAGGCAACCAGGGCCTCAGGGCAAAACTGCCCTTTGCTCGGGGTGCCGTGTCGATTTCAGGCCTGCCACGCTTGTGTAAACGAGTTCAGGGAGGGCTCAGACAGGCTGAGAGGTGGTGGCAGAGAATCAGACTTCCCATTCAGCACCATGACCTGTCCCAGCAGGGCCGGGGAGGGGCCAGCAGGTTCTACCCACCCCTGCGCGCTGGCAACAGATCCCTCAGTAGGCCCTCTGGGGGTCCCCACTGCACGTCTCCCCACCTTATCTTGGTCCAGGGGACATCTGGGCCAGGTGACCGCCACTGCCCAGGGGTGGGAGTCTCCCCCTCGGCATTGTCCAAACCAAAACTCCATCACTTCCTGAGCACGTGACACTGAGACACACAGAGTGTGTGGCTTCATGGTTGTCAGCTGTTGTGGCAAAGGGGTTGTAGACACACACCAGCTCTATGAGGTGAGATATAAAATAGGGTTTATTGGGGAATCATAGAAGCAGAGGGGCAGTGGGGGGTCCCCAAGCTGTCACTATCCCACAGCAGGAAGGCAGGCACTACGGCCAGCATGCCAGGAGAGGGGGTGCCTAGGCTGGGTGCTCTCTCTTCAACTACAGGGTGGGGGTGAGGGCCTTCCATGGAGGACGTGGCCGTGTTAGCAAGCAAGACCTCTGGAGTTCCCGGGGTGTCCGCTCACCGCTCCTCAGACTGCTCACTTGGACCTGCTGAGCCGGCGCCCTGCTGAGACCCCCAACAGGAAGGCAACCCGCCTCCACCGTCTCCTCAGGCTTCAGATCGACACGGGCAACCCAGGAGGCAGCTGGCCTGAGCCAGGGTGTGTCTGCCTAGTGCTGGCTGCCTGCCAGCATCTGGCTGGCACCCATTGTCAGGAGTGACACCTGCCACGGGGATCGTGGACACAGAAAGGCAAGTCTGACAGAGGGTACGGTGAGGCCTCTGGCTTGGCCGGCTAGGTTACTGTTGGGGACAGCTGCATCCCGGGAGGAGGCAGCCAGAGGCCAGCAAGGCCCACCTTGCACCTGTCTAGAAAGACCTGCTGTGGCTTGCACTGGTCTACGGAGGGCAGTTCAGTTTGAAGAAAGAAGCGGGAACTTCCCCAAACCTGCCCTGGCTCCACAACAACGTTTCACTTTTCATTTTGAGCTGAAGCAGGGCCACACCCGGTTGGAAAGTCCTTGGCAAAGTCGCGTGCTCTGAAAATGGATGGGCTCGGAGCAGCAGAACAGAGATGTTTCTTCAGATCCTTCAAAGGTCAGAAGCGCCGGCGGCCACAGCCCTGTCCCATGACATACATGTCTGCAAGCCGCCAGCTCCGAGCACTGTTCTCGGCTGACCCAAGGATACCATCCAAGCCTTTCTCCCGGGAGACCTCGAGGAAATGTAAAGGCCATTGATGCTTTGGAGGCGTGAAAAGAAGCTTCCGTCAAGCCAACTCTAAGTGGATGGGAAATGCCTGCGGAGACGGGAAGCTGCCTGTGCTGGGAGGAATTTCGCCTCATTGGGACTCGCTGTCCAGTTTTACATCTTCGCTGTTCCTGATTACGAAGAAACGCATATTCATGACAAAGACTAAAACATGGTGGAAATAGACAATGTATGTTAAGAACTCCTGGAATCCTTTTCCTAGCGATAACCACTGGCTATGGCTAGATCATTTTTACACACACACAGGTACATACATCATATCAATTCCTTTAAAAGATGAGGCTGCTTAATAACATGTACTTTGGGAATTCCCTGATTTCTACACTAGTGTGTTGTGGAAAGAAACACCCAACACTTCTTCTCTCTCTTTTTTTTTTAAAGATGACCGGTAAAAAAAAAAAAAACGGGCTGGCCCGGTGGCGCACTGGAGAGTGTGCCGTTTGGGAGTGTGGCGGCGCTCCCGCCGAGGGTTTGGATCCCATGTGGACACCGGTTCCCGCTCACTGGCTGAGCGCGGTGTGGGCACAACACCGAGGGTTGCGATCCCGTTGCCAGTCCCCGGTACGGGCGCGACACCGAGGGTTGCGATCCCGTTACCGGTCAGTAAAAAAGACAAAAAGGAAAAAAAAAAAAGATGACCGGTAAGGGGATCTTAACCCTTGACTTGGTGTTGTCAGCACCACGCTCTCCCAAGTGAGCAAACTGGCCATCCCTATATAGGGATCCAAACCCGTAGCCTTGGTGTTATCAGCACCACACTCTCCTGAGTGAGCCACAGGCCAGACCAACACCCAACACTTCTGAAAAGTCCTGTCTCCTGCCCTGGCAGTCGCCCGTGCATCAGGGCCGGGGACTTGCACCCTGGCCTTTTCAAAGCTCTTTGTCAAGAAATGTAGCTCTCCATTACCACTGTGATGAGTTTGTTCATGAGTCTTTGGTATTCCTCACTCCAGGAAGAGAAGCCCAACACCCCTCTCCTTGAGTGATCTGGCTGACGTAACTGGCTTCTAACTATGGGGATAAAGCAGTAGTGACAGTGTGTGACACTGGTTATAAAAGTCACTGTGACTGGGCCGGCCCGGCGGCGCACTCAGTAGAGTGCGGCGCTTGGGAGCGCGGCGGCGCTCCCACCAAGGTTTCGGATCCTATATGTTTCGGATCTCACTGGTTGAGCGCGGTGCGGGCGCGACACCAAGGGTTGCGATCCCATTACCGGTCACGAAAAAAGACAAAAAAGGGAAAAGAAAAAAAAAGTCACTCTGACTTCTTTCCTCTTTTCTTTTTTTGTAGCTTTATTGAGCTATAATTCATAGACCATAAAATCCGCCTATGTAAAGTGTACAATTCAATGTTTTTTAATATAGTTGCAGAGTTATGCAACCAGCACCACTATCACTCTTAGAACATCTCCCCACCCCCAAAAAGAAACTCCACACCCTTTAGTAGTCACCCCAAGACCCCCAACTTCCCCTGCCCCTGGCAACCACTAATCTACTGACTCTACAGATCTGCCTATTTTGGACATTTCTCTCTCTTTTTTTTTTTTTTTAAAAGATTGGGCCGGCCTGGTGGCGCACTGCTACAGTGCGCCGCTTGGGAGTGTGGTGGCGCACTCCCGCCGAGGGTTCGGATCCCACATACAGACCGGTTCCCGCTCACTGGCTGAGCGAGGTGCGGGCGCAACACCGAGGGTTGCGATCCCATTGCCGGTCCCAGTCCGGTACGGGAGCGACACTGAGGGTTGCGATCCGTTGCTGGACACGAAAAAAGAAAAAAAAAAAGATGACCGGTAAGGGGATCTCAACCCTTGGCTTGGTGAGCCATGGGCCGGCCCCTATTTTGGACATTTCAAATAAAGGGAATTATATATACCATGTGCTCTTTTGTGACTAACTTCTTTCACTTAAAATGAGGTTTTCAAGGTTCATCAACATTGTAGCATGTATCAGTATTTCATTCCGTTTTATGGCCAAATAATATTTCATTGTACAGATATAGCACGTTTTATTTATCAGTCATCCATTGATGGATATTTTGGGTTGTTTTCAGTTTTTGGCTATAATGAATAATGTTGATATGAACATTTGAGTACATCTACATGTGGATACACGTTTTCATTTCTCTTGGGTATGTACCTAGGAGTGAAGTTTCTGGGTCATATGGTAACTCTATGTTTCATATTTTGAGGAACTGCCAGGTATTTCCCAAAGTGGCTGTACCATTTGTATCCCCACCAAGAGAGTATCATGTTCCAATTTCTCCATATCCTCACCAACACTTAAGTTTGTCTTTTTTTTTTTTTTTGAGCGTCTGGCTAGTAAGGGGATCTGAAACCTTGACCTTGGTTATAACACTGTACTATGACCAACTGAGTTAACCAGCCAGCCTTCTAAAAATGACGTGGTTTTTGTTTTGTTTTGTTTTTTGGTGGCTGGCTGGTACAGGGATCTGAACCCTTGACTTTGGTTTTCTCTCTCTTTTTAAATAACCAACTTAGTAGTTATAAAGTGGTATCTCATTGTGGTCTTGATTTGCATTTCCCCAAGGATAATGATGTTGAGCATATTTCATTATGCATATTGGCCATTTATATATCTTAGACTTCATTGAATTCATCAAAGAAACTAAATCTTTGAAAAACTGTCTATTCAGATCCTTTGTCCATTTGTTAATTGGGTTGTCTTTTCATTGTTGTGTTATAAGTATTTTTTTTTTTAAAGATGACCAGTAAGGGGATCTTAACCCTTGACTTGGTGTTGTCAGCACCACACTCTCCCAAGTGAGCTAACCAGCCATCCCTATATAGGGATCCGAACCCACGGCCTTGGTGTTGTCAGCACCACACTCTCCCAAGTGAGCCATGGGCCAGCCCTATGAGAAGTCTTTATATATTCTGGATACAAGTCCCTTATCAGATATATGATTTGCAAATAGTTTCTCCCATTCTGTGGGTTGTCTTTTCACTTTCTTGATAGTGTTATTCAAAGCACAAAGTTTTTAACTTTGATGAAGTCCAATTTATCTATTCTTTGGTTGCTTGTACTTTTGGTGTTCTATCTAAAAAGTTTTGTCTAATTCAAGGTTACAGAAATCTACTACTATCTTTTTGTTCTTTTAAAGAGTTTTATAACTTAGCTCTTACATTTAGGTCTATGATCCAATTAAAGTTCGTTTTTGTATATGGTGTGAGGAAGGGGTACAACTTCATCCTTTTGTATGTGGATATCCAGTTGTCCCAGAACCATTGCTGACAGTTCCTTCCCATTAAATTGTCTTGACATGCTTGTTGAAAATCCATTGATCACTGAGGGTTTATTTCTGGACTGTCAATTCTTGATCTATGTGTCCATCCTTATGCCAGTATCACACTGTCTTGATTACTGTTGCTCTGTGGTAAGTTTTGAAATTGAGAGGTGTGAGTCCTCTGACTTGGTTCTTCTTTTTCAAGATTGTTTTGGCTATGCTGGGCTCCTTGAGTTTCTATATGTATCTTAGGTCTTCCAATCCATGAACATGGGATATATGAGTAGTTCCATTTATTTTGATACTTAATTTCTTTCAACAGTGTTTTATAGCTCTCAGAGTACAAGTTTTATACTTCTTTTGTTAAATTTATTCCTAAATATTTCATTCTTTTTGATGCTTTGGTAAATAGAATTGTTTTCTAAATTTCACTTTTGTATTGTTCATTCTAAACATATAAATATACAATTGATCTTTGTATATCGATCTTGTACCCTGCAATCTGGCTGAACTTGTTTATTAGTTCTAATAGTTTTTTTTTTTTAGTGGATTCCTTAGGATTTCATATATATAAGATCACATCATCCACAAATAGAGACAGTTTAACTTCTTCCTTTACAATCTGGATATCTTTTAATTCCTTCTCTTGTCTAATTGTGCTGGCTAAAACCTCCAGTCCAGTGTTGACTATAAGTTGTGAGACTGGACATCCTTGTCTTCTTCCTGATTTTAGAGGAAAAAATTCAGTCTTTCACCATTAAGTGTGATGTTAGCTGTGGGGTTTTCATTGGTGTTCTTTATGAGTTTGAGTAAGCTCCCTTTTATTCCTAGTTTGTCGAGTGTTCCATCATTAAAAGGTGTATTTGGTCAAATGCTTTCTCATGTTTATTCAATGATCATGTGGATTTTGTCCTTTACTCTATTAATATGGTGTGCTGGTGCCCCCAAGACTACTTCCAGGTTTGGTCATTTCACTGGAAGGACTCACAGGATTTAGCATATAATCATACTCATGTTTAAGATTTATTACAGTGAAAAGATACAAAGCAGGGGCCGGCCCGGTGGTGCACTGCTACAGTGCGCTGCTTGGGAGCGTGGCAGTGCTCCCACCGAGGGTTCGGATCCCACGTACAGACCGGTTCCCGCTCACTGGCTGAGCGGGGTGCGGGCGCGGCGCCGAGGGTTGCGATCCCATTGCCGGTCCCGGTCCGGTACGGGAGCGACACTGAGGGTTGCGATCCGTTGCCGGACACAAAAAAAGACAAAAAGGAAAAAAAAAAAAAAAGATACAAAGCAAAATCAGCAACAGAAAAAAGTACATGGGGTGAAGTCCAGAGAAAACCAGGCAGAAGCTCCCAAAAGTCCTGTCCCCCAGAGTTGCACAGAATGTACTTAATTTTCCAGCAACAAGTTGGGACAACACATGTGAAGTGTTGTACAACAGGGAAGCTTGCTTGAGCCTAGGAGTCCAGGGTTTTTATTGGGGGTTGGCCAGGTAAGCACATCATGACTTCAGTCACTGAAATTCCAGACTCAGAAGAAAAGCTGGTGTTCACCAAAAATCACATTTTTTGTACAAACAGGTAAGAGTGAACAACTGTTATCATTTAGGCACAGCATTATGTCAGTAAGGGAAATGTTTACCAGTCAAGTTCCCAGATACCAGCTAAGGGCCAGACTCGCAAGCAGGTCATCCTAGATGCAGCAATCTCAGGCCTGCTATGATAAGTCTATTCTGCACATATGGTGGATTACATTAAGTTTTGGATGTTAAATTAATCTTACATTCCTGGAATAAATATCAGTTGGTCATGGTGAATAATAATTTTTTATGTTGCTGGGTTCTGTTTGTTGCTGTTCTGTTGAGGATTTCGGCTTCTATATTCCTAAGAGACAGTGTTTTCCTGTGATACCTTTGCTTGATTTTGGTATTGGGGTAATACTGGCCTTACCAAATAAATTGGGAAGTGATCTCTCCTCTTCTATTTTTTTTTTTTTTTTTTAAAGATGACCAGTAAGGGGATCTTAACCCTAGACTTGGTGTTGTCAGCACCATGCTCAGCCAGTGAGCTAACCGGCCATCCCTATATAGGATCCGAACCCATGGCCTTGGTGTTATCAGCACCAACTCTCCCGAGTGAGCCACAGGCCGGCCCCTCTTCTATTTTTGGGAAGAGGTTGTGAAGAACTCGTGTTGATTCTTCTTTGAATGTTTGGTAGAATTCACAGGAAAGTCAAGTGGGCCTAGGATTTTCTTTGTGGGAAGTTCTAAAATAACTAATTTGACTGCTTTACTTGTTGTAGGTCTATTCAGATTTTCTATTTCTTCTTGAGTCAGTTTCAGTAGTTTATGTCTTTCTAGGATTTTTTTTTTTTTTTTTTTTTTTTTTTGCGGCTGGCCTATATTGGGATGTTATAATACTGTGCTCTGACCAACTGAGCTAACCAGCCAGCCCAGAATTCTTTTCATCTCATGTAAATTATCTAATTTGTTGGCTTACAATTGTTCGTAATATTCCCTTAGGATCCTTTTTTATTTCCCTGTGAGGTCAGTAGTAATGTCCCATCTTTCCTGATTTTAATAATTTGAGTCTTCTCTCTCTCTTTTTAGTTTTTTGGATTAGTCTAGCTAAAGATTTGTTAATTTTCTTGATGCTTTCAAAGAACCAACTTTTGGTTTTATTAATTTTCTCTATTATTTTTCTACTCTCTATTTCACTCATTTCTGCTCTAGTCTTTCTTACTTCCTTCTTTCTGCTTGCTTTAAGTTCAGTTTGTTCTTCTTCTTCTTCTTTTTTTTTTTTAAAGATGACCCGTAAGGGGATCTTAACCCTTGACTTGGTGTTGTCAGCACCACGCTCTCCCAAATGAGCCACGGGCTGGCCCTCAATTTGTTCTTTTTTTCCTAGTGTCTTAACAAGCAAGTTTAAGTTACTGATTTGATATCTTTCTTCTTTAATGTAAGTGTTTATAGCCATAAGTTTCCTTCTAGGCACTGCTTTCACTGCATCCCATAAGCTCTGGTATGTTGTGTCTCCATTTTCATTCATTTCATAGTATTTTCTAATTTCCCTTGTGATAGTTTCTTTGACTCATTAGTTTTTTTTAGGAGTGTGGTGTTGAATTTCCACATATTTGTGAGTTTCCAAAATTTCTTTCCATTATTGATTTCTAATTTCATTCCACTGGGGTCAGAAGACATACTTTGTATGATTTCAATCCTTTTACATTTATGGAGTCTTATTTTACAGCCTAGACATGGTCTATCCTGGAGAGTGCTCAGGGGTACTTGAGAAGAATAGGAATTCTGCTGCTGTTGGCGGCTGCCTTCTTTCTCCACTGGTTCTTGGATCACTCCTTTTGGGGGAAGATAGCCACCATGCTTGAGGACAAGCAAGCAGCCCTGAGGAGAGGTCCATGTGGTGAGGAACAGAGGCCTCCAGCTCACAGCCCTGTGTTAAATGAGCTATTCTGGAAGCAGATCTTCTACCCCACTGAAGCCTTCAGATGACTGTAGCCCTGGTTACATCTTTTCTTCAACCTCATGAGAGACCCTGAGTCAGAATCACCCAGCCCAACCACTCCTGCAATCTTGACCCCCGAAAGCTATGAGAGAGAGTAAATATTTGTTGTTTTAAGCCACTAGGTTCTGAAATAATTTGTGACACAGCACTGGATGACTCATACAATTACCCACATATCTGCTGGCTTTCTGGAGAACAAGTCTTGAAGCACAGTTGAATGTTAGGCAGAAGTTTTATCTTTTCTAAGGAAAAAAATTTTAAAACACAAATTAATAATTCTTTTCTTGTTGAAGCAGATAGAACCAATGGCACACATCTTGTTAGTGATGATCTCAAGGCCTTGAGGGTAAAGTAATCCAGGTAGAGTGACTCTGATTTGGCGAGTCATTAGGAATTTGGTTTTCCTAACACCCAAAACTACCTGTGCCTGGCAAAATAAGTTGCTTGAGAGCCTAAGAGTCGGTCTTCAGCTCTCATCATCGACCAAACTGGGAATCAACTAGATATTAAAGATAAGCTGCCCTTCACTGTGCCAAAGCCACTCTACAACTTCTGGCTCTTGTTTAAGCCAAGTAGTGGCTTTCTCATGGAAATCTCCTTTTTATAAAGCAGAAATCAAGTTTCTTTGGATTGTTTCATACAACGTGGGTCCATTTCTCTGTTTACACAATGTGGTCTATGACATTCACATGAACTAGTGTGAGACCCATAATGTTTTCTACAGACTGGTTTCATATTCTGTATGTGAAGGGGACCCATTCCAATTCAATGAAATTAATAACTTGGAAAACTTTGTGTGTGTGCACACATACAAACATTAGTACATTCTTTTGGGGTAGTCTATATTCTTCATCAGATTTTCAAAAGAGACTATGATCTGTGAAAAGTTAAGATCTCTCAGAATAGAGCCAGTGGTGGCTCACTCTAGAGAGTGTGGTGCTGATAACACCAAGGCCATGGGTTCGGATCCCTATACAGGGATGGCCGGTTAGCTCACTTGGGAGAGCGTGGTGCTGACAACACCAAGTCAAGGGTTAAGATCCCCTTACCGTCATCTTAAAAAAAAAAAAAAAAAGATCTCACAGAATAAAAGAAAGGAGAGAAAATGGTAGTTAGGGTAGGAGTTTTTTTGGGGGGTGCCTGGTGGGCCAGTACGGGGACCCGAACTCTTTTTTTTTTTTTTCCTTTTTGTCTTTTTCCGTGTCTGGCAACGGATCGCAACCCTCAGTGTCGCCCCCATACCGGACCGGGACCAGCAACGGGATCGCAACCCTCGGTGTTACTCCCGCGCCTCACTCAGCCAGTGAGCGGGAACCGGTCCGGGGACCCGAACTCTTGACCTTGATGTTACCAACACTGCACTGTAACCAACTGAGCTAGAGGGTGCCTGACCATGACAGTGTCTGTCCTTGGGCTGGCAGAGTCTGAGACACCCACAGCTTTTTTGTACCCCCCACCCCTGAATCCCATCCCTGCCTGTACCTGGGTCCTCCTGTTGGGCCAGTCTGGGGAGCCGCTCCCGCTGCCTCAGGGCCTCCAGGCCTGCCAGGTCGGGCATGTGGCAGTGCCGGCGCATCACCATCACCCGCTGCCCCTGCGTGATGGCCCGGCTGCGGCAGCCCAGCCGAGCCTGGTCCCGGCACATCCAGTACACCTTCTCGCCAGCCGCCTTCTCCTTCCTGTAGAGGAACGAGTCATGCACCAGGAACCTTCCCCCGAGGGAAGTCCTCAGGAACTCCAGGGGCCGGAGGGCTCCTGAAAGGGAAAGTGACAACATGAGTGGGGTGACCAGAGCCCAGGCCTTGGATGCAGGGGCCTGGGCCTGGGTGCCAGGGACAGAGGGCTTCCCTTGTCCCATCAGCCAGGAAACTGCAACTCCCCAGCAGGACCCACGCTGGTCACTGCCCTCCAGCCCTCTGCCTGCACCTCGGAGCCCTGGGGACTGAAGCTAAGGCCCACCAGACCAAAGCCCACAGCCTGGACACCCTCAAACACAGACTAGCCATCCCATTCCAAGAACTCTGGCGCTGCCTGGAGAGGCTGGCCTGCAGCCACCTGGACCACAAGCTCTCCCGGAGGCCCCTAACTCCATGCTTGCTGGAGAGACCCCAGGGCAGAGGCCAGTGGGGCAGTCTGGGGGGCCGTGGCTGCCCTGAACTGTGCACCAAGACCTCCCAGCTCCCTGTCCACCCAGTCGGCAACCAATCAGACTCTCAGACTTTTAGGAAGCCAAACTGAAAGGCCAAGCAATTCTGGGGCTGGAGAGGCCACAGAGAACCACGTGACAGCAGAAGCTGCTGGGGACAGCATGGGGCAGGGAGAAAAGATGGAAATCAAACCTGAGAGAGACCTAATGAGGGCAGGCAGAGGGGCCCCAGGTGCAGGTGCACCACCCCATGTGGGAGCCAGTAATGCACTAGTGGTCTGAGCAGGATTCTGCAATTGACAGCCAGTTCCAGGCATGGAGCCCGCAGACACAGCCCCTGCCCTCTGGGAACTCCAAGCCTGGGTGGACAGACCACTGTACTTGGCTCGGACAGAATGTCCCAGCAGAGCCTCCATGTCGTGTTGGGGCTCAAACCCCTGGGCCTGCTGGGCAGCAGAGAGACCAGGCCTCGTGCCTGCCCGCCCCCTCCTGCCCGCACCTGGGTCTTCCCACTGGGCCAGGTTGGGAAACTGCTCCCGCTGCCTCAGGGCCTCCAGCCCCCCTAGGTCAGGCGGATGGCAGTGCCGGCGCATCACCATCACCCGCTGGCCCTGGGTGATGGCCCGGCTGCGGCAGCCCATGCGTGCCTGGTCCCGGCATGTCCAGTACACCTTCTCTCCCGCAGCCTTCTCCCGCCTATAGAGGAAGGACTCATACACCAGGAAGGTGCCCCCCAGGGGGGTCTTCAGGAACTCAGGGCCTCCTGCAGAGAAATGGAGGCAGTCAGGGGAGGGGGCCTGAGCCCAGGCCTTGGGAATGGAGGAGTGTGTGGGGGGTGCCCCTATTCTCAGAGCCAGGTGCAGCGTGGCTCCTGGAGTGACACCCACCCACCCCATCCCGTGCCTGCACCCCTCCTCACAGTGAGGTGGCCTTGGAGCCTAGGACACAGACCCTGCCATGCCCCAAGCCCAATCAGGCCATTGGCTACCAGGGATCCCTTTCCTGAGGCCAGAGACTGACCAAGTGAGGCCCTTGCAGGCAGAGGCTGGGCTCCCCCACCTCCCGACACTGCAGGAAGGTGGTGTTGGCCATGGTCACTCATCTGTCCTAGGCACCCACGGAGGGCCAGCAGGCAGGGTGTGCTGTACCTGCTCAGTTAGAGGAACAGGGCAATGGCCCTTTGGGGACAAAGCGCTCAGGAGCTAAATGGGGGGTGTGGGCAGTGAGCAATGCTCAGTCTGGGTGGAGATCCCACCCGAGGGCTGCTGGAGGCAGCAGGGAGCAGCCTCCACTATTCTGAATATGGCCTTCTGCTCAGAGGACTCCCTGCCTCCATCCAGGCACAGGGGCCACTCAGAGGTGGCTAGAGACAGCCTGGGGAGGCATCTGCACAGCAGGCAGCCACAGAAGCCAGGGCAGTGGGAAAGCTTGAAAGAGGCGAGGGCCAGGCAGAGGCATTGGGCTGTGGAGCCACCTTAGAAGCAGCAGAGAAGGCAAGGCCCAGAAGGGAGCAGAAGGGGACAGAGGGACACAGCCAGCCAAGAGGAACTGGTAGGGACACCAGACTGGGGGAAATAAGCTATGTGACCATGGGGTGTTTTGCCTCCTTCCACACTTGATTAAAACGTCCATCAAGGAATGAAAGAAGCACAGGACACAGAGCCAGAGATTTGGAGCAGAGAGGACAGTAGACCAGAAATGCCGACAGAATGCGAGTGGCTGGAGAGATGTGGCATGTGGTTAGGGATGTGGCCAACCAGAGGTCAACCCAGCCTGAGAATGGGGAGAGGCCATGCCAAGCCTGGGGACTGGAGGCTCGGGGTTCCTCGGAAGGTGGTTGCTTGAAGAGCAATCAGACAAGGTGGGCAGTCAGCAGGAACCTGTGCCTGGCAGAGAAAGTTCTGGGGGGAGGCGCTGGCTCACAGGGAGGGGAATGATGTCGGCATGTGGGGCGCCCACTCTTCCACCTGCTTCCCCTGCCGGCAGCCAGGCTTCCATGCCTGCTGGGCAGGAGGTTCCTCCCGTGGGCACTGACCAGCCCAAAGATCCAGAGACGCAAGGCCTGGGGTCCAGTGGATGAAATACCACCTGCCATCGCAGCCCCTGCAGTTAAGCCACATTCAGTGCTTGTCAAAGCCTCACCTGCAAAAGACCAGCCCGCCAAGCATCACCAGACACTTGAGAGGAGCTGAACCCTGCAAGACAGAGTCCAAAGCAGACGGACTGACACCAGGCACGTGAGAGTGCAAGCTGCTGCCCAGGCAGGAGAGACAGAGGCTGCCATACTCTGAGATTGGATGGAATGTGAAGGAGACGTTCGACTTTAAGAGCAAACACTTAAGAAATTAAATAGAAGGATTGGAAAACAAAATTGAGGAAAACCTCAGATGGTGCCCCCAAAATAATCAGTCCTCCCGGGAGGATCAACATTTGGCTAACAGAAGCAATGGAAAGAAATGACAGGGGGTTATAGGACACAAGAAGTTGCTCTGCATTGAAGGGACAAGGTGTGGCCTGGAAAGGCCCCTCATGCACCCAGCACAGTAGGTGCAGCAGGGTGGAGAGAAGACCTAAAGCTTCTGGCTCAGCCAGTCACAGACATAGGCTGAGTCATTGGAAAACAGCAGCGCGAGCCTGGCCCTCCGCCAACAGCTGCACTTTCAGCCAAGCGTACGGGCAGGCTAGGGACATCTTCAGTCACTCCTGGTCTCAGAGGTGTCACCACCCAGGGCTCTGGCTCAGGAGGGACGAGAGGAGGGATTTCCCCAAATGACAAAACAAGGGAGAAACCTGAGAAAGAGAAGCGGGAGTCTGGTAAAGTGAATCCCAGGTGAAGGTGGGCCGGCCTCGGCCAGCCAGGCTGGAGAAGGCCCGAAGCTCCTGGAAGACAAAACCTGGAGCTGTTTGATATCTGATCCACACAAGGTGTGAAGAGAGGCAGGGAAAGCAATGGGGACAGAGAACACCGGCAGACAGAAACTACAGGGAAAACACAGCTGCCCGAGGAAGGAGAGGGGACCGCAGGATGCTGCCATCCCCGCAGACAGTCTGCATAATGAAATGACAGCGAGCCCGTGCAGCACGTGCACCAAGAGCTAGACTTTCCCCTGTTGGAAGTCAACAGGCAACGAGGAAATTGAAAAACCAGTGAACAACAGCAGAGGCATAGTCAAAACCCTAAAGAACAGCCGAACCCGCCCAGAGTTGTTATCAGGGGGTGCGGACAAGGCGAGGGCAGCTATTTACCCTGTGGCATCACCTCCCTGTACATTAAGTTGACGGGAAAGGGAATAGACAGAGAGTCAGAAAGAAAAAAATCATAGATCTCAAGTTTGAGTAGGGCCAGAAGGCCCTAATGGCAACTCAGCCAACTCAAAAACCACAGGACAGGAGCCTCTGGAAGGGGAGGCAGATGCCTCGCGGGCACGAATGAGGCGCTGGGTGAGCTGAGAAGGCGCAGCTGAGATGGCTCTTCTCAGCCAGATGAGGACAGGAACATTTATGTTACTGTGACCCTAAGAGTCAATAATGCCAGGCACTGTTGGGACCAGGTGGAGGAAGAGGAAAAGAATAGAGTGGGACCCTCCTCACGGGTCCCTTTAAGGACGGTTTCAGGTATGTGTGGAGAGCGGCTGGGGAGAGAAGAAATTGATCACATGTACGTATCACCTCCTCTGCCCTTAGCCACTCTGACGGACATAGGACAGGCTTGTTACTGGGAATTGTATTCGTCCACTTACGCTGTGACAATCGTACTATCAATTCTAAAAAACATAAAGGAGGGGGAGGGGGAGGGGGAGGGAAGGCAGCACGGGTTTGTCAAACTGCTGCTGAAATCATGGGCGGGTCAGGTGGAAGGGTGTGGCTGGGCTTAGTGGGAGGGCGGGGGGACCCTGTGAGAGCAGGACACACTCAAACAGTGGAACCAGCTGGGCCAAGAAGTGGGAGGCGAGGAAATGGAAGATGGAGAAGACTAACTCCTTCCGAAATGTTCATGGAGGAAAGAGGGGGGTGGTTGCTGGTGGGGGAAGGGCCCTGGCTCTTCTGCCCAGGGCCCAGTTCCCAGTCTGTCCTCAGCTACCTGGGCTCCCTCGCTGAGTTGGGTTGGGGCGTTTCTCCCGCTGCCTCAGGACCTCCAGCCCCCCCAGGTCGGGCGGGTGGCAGTGGCCACGCATCACAGTCACCCGCCTGCCCTGGGTGATGGCCCGGCTGCGGCAGCCCATGCGTGCCTGGTCCCGGCATGTCCAGTACACCTTCTCCCCCGCGGCCTTCTCCCGCCTGTAGAGGAAGGACTCATACACCAGGAAGCTGCCCCCCAGGGGAGTCTTCAGGAACTCAGGGCCTCCTGCAGGAAATAGGAGAGGCAGTCAGGCAAGGGGGCCTGGCGAAGGTGAGGACAGGGCTGGGTAGGCCTCCTCCCACCCCCCCTTACCTCCCTGGACCTCAGAAGTAGGACTCAGGCGAGGCCAGTTGGGGGCTGTGGGAGTCCCAAAGGATGAAGGATGAGCACTCACCCGGGTCAGCATCCTGGTCCTCATCGGGGGATCCCTGCAAGTCTTGGGGCTGGGCCGGAAGCGCCCCATCTCTGACCTTTGCTCGCTTTCGGGGCTGGGGCCTGGTCAGAGTCAAGGTGCTTGGCCCCCTGCGGTAGAGCAGACTGTCCACGCCTTGGAGCACCTTGTCTCCTTGGCCCTGGGGGCCATCCGGCCTGGACTGCAGCATCCCCATGGCCTTCTCCTGCTGCCGCCGGGCCTCCAGGCCCTCCATGTCAGGAGGGTGGCAGTGGCTGCGCATCACAGTCACCCGCTGGCCCTGGGTGATGGCCCGGCTGCGGCAGCTGTGCAATGCATGGTCGCGGCACGTCCAGTACACCTTGTCACCCACAGCCTTCTCCCGCTTGTACAGGAATGACTGGTGCACCAGGAAGCTGCCACCGTAGCACGTCCTCAGGAACTCGAGGGACCAGGCCTGGCCTGCAGGAGGCACCCGGGCCAGAGCTGGGGACTGATGTGCACTTTTCTCCTTTAGGGCTGACATGTACTGTGGCTTCCCCATTGCCACTGGACACCCCCCCAAGCGACCCAAAGAGGAGGTGCAGTCTCTCCTAGTGGTCAGCAGAGGAACCACATCCAAGGTCACACTCCAAAGGGACCACACTGGGCTGTGATCCAGCAGCTTATGTTGTCAGTCATTCCTGGTCATACTTTTTTTTTTAGGGTTTGTTTAAAAATTTCATTGAATAATACATGCACATACTGAAAAACTTGAATGGTACCAAGAGATACACAGTGAAAAATAAGTATCTTTCTAGCCCTCCCCTCCCTGGCCCAGGTCCCCAGTGCAGCAGCTGACCCTTTCTGGGTCAGGCGGCACCCAGCCTGCTCATCCCATGCCCATCTCCTAGTTACTGGTAATAAATGGTAATAAAAACAGCATAAAAACTCCAATCTACCCCTTCCTGAGCCTCACCCCCACCCCCACTGACCTGGTGCCAAGCACTTCCCAAGGATGGAAATCTACAATCTCCATAACAATCCAGGTTATCACACCCATCTCAGGATAAAGCTCCTGAAACTCCAGAAATTAAGCAAAGCTTCTGGGGCTACAAGGATATCATAGTTGGGGCAGGAATTTGAACCTGGGACTCCAAGCCCAAGACTTTTCCACAAGGCGTCCTTCCCATATTTAGAGGATGCTAGAATTGCCTGGGAGCTGTTAAAATTCAGATTTCTGGGCCCCACACCAGACCCAGCTGCATCAGAAAATTCTGTAAGTTCACCCAGATCACAACCAGTTCAGGAGCAGTAGTTCTGTCCCATGGGTTGAATGATCATTTGAACACATTTGTATTTTAAAAAGCCATTTTGACTTTGAGCACATTTCTTGGTTTTTTGGTGGCTGGGTGGTACAGGGATCCAAACCCATGACCTTGGGGTTATAAGGCTGTGCTTTAACCACCTGAGCTAACCAGCCAGCCCCGACTTTGGGCACACTTAAAAAAAAACATGCAGGACCCCACATTTCTATCTGGGTATGGATAGGGCCCATGGTTCCCACCCACCCAGAGTAGAGGCAGCAGAGGTGGGTACTCACCCATCCCCAGCCTTGGGCGTTTCTTGGGAGGCAAGCTCAGTAGTGGCAGGGCCTGGGGTGCCCGGTGCTCCTCCGGGGCTGGCTTGCTCGGCACCAGCTCAGGGGTGGGCTCCGGCTCCTCAGGGCACAGCCACCGGTCCACTCCCTTGAGCGGCTCCTGCACTCGGCCTCCAGGGTTCTCGGGACCCCGGGGATCCCTCAAGCCCTCTGGCAGGGCTGGACTGGGCAGCTTCTCCCTCCGGCGCCGGGCCTCCAGGCTTTTCTCATCTGGTGGGTGGCAGTGGTCCCGCATCACTGTTGCCCGTGGGCCACGGGTGATAGCCCGGCCCCGGCAGCGCAGCTCCGCATGCTCCCGGCACTTCCAGTACACCTTGTCCCCGACAGCCTTCTCCTGCTTGTACAGGAACGACTCGAGCACCAGCAGGCGGCCCCCAAACGGGGTCCTCAGAAACTCCAGGGGCTTAAGGGCTGCTGGGGGGAGGAGGGGCTGGATTAGCTCACCCAGAGCAAGACTCAAGACCAGAGGCATGGAGGAGAGCCAGTGAGGGTGATTGGGGGGGCTCTGGAGCAGGGCAGGGTCACTGTGGGTGGGGGTGGTCTCCTCGTGTGCCTGGATGCCAGGCAAGAAGTCCAGACTCTCAAGGCCAGATTTGGCTTGGAAGGTGGGAGTGATGGTGAGCATTCTTAAGGATCTGAAGGAATTTACTGCATGTCACTGCAATTCCCATGAACTTGGTAAGGATCCAGAACCCAGGATTTGCTACACAGCACAGGGACTATCGTGTGATCGTCACGCCAGCCTGGGACAGTGTCATGGTTAGAAACCAGAAGGCTCAGCTGGGAGCAGGCATGGGATGGCCAAGGTTACCCCACTAGAATGGGGAGTATGCAGGGCCCAGTCTGAGCATTTAGGCCCACAAGGTGGGTGGGCCAGGGGCAGCAGGCCTTGATGCCTCACCTGTGTCCAGCTTGCTGCCTTTCTGCTCAAGGGCCCGGGGGCCTGGCTGAATGGCCCCCCCCTGCTCCTTGGCTGGCAGGACCTGGAGGGTGCTGGTGAGGGTGGGGGGGCCAGACATCTCCAGGGACATGACGCGGTGCATGCCATTGGGCTTGGAGCCCACCCCATCCCCGTCCTGGTTGGAGGCCGTCAGCAGGACCAGTTTGGAGAACTCTTTGGGTTTGCTGGGGGATGCCGGGATGACATCTGTGCCCGGCTCAGGGGATGGCTCCTGGCCGGCCTTCATGCTCTCACCCTCCTGCTCACTGGGCTCGGGCAGGGGCATTCTGGGACCAGTGGCCTGTCCCTCAGGCTACACGCAGCCCTGCAGATGGATTTCTCCTTCTCCTGCTCCTCCCTGGCGAGGAACCTGGGAGTCCAGGGGCTCCGTCCTAAGGGAGGAGACAAAATCCATCAGTAGAGGAAGCCCTGGGGTCTGGGGCTCAGAAAATGGATCTGGGATGGAGGTGGGGGCAGATGGGGCTGCCTTGGTGCCCCTGGGCTGAGAGGCCGGGGAGGGACTTCATGGAGCTATGGACCCTGGGCTGGGGCTTCTCCTGGCAGCCTTGGGCACATCACCTCCCCATCCAAACCTCACTTTCCCCACCTGTAACAACGTGCACAATAAACGCCTCTCAAAACGTGCTGTCAGGGAGAGTAATGGACCAATAACGGAGCAACTACCCATTGAGCCTCGCACGTGCTGAGCTTTTCCCACGCCTTTCCCTTTAACCTTCCAGCCCCCGTTACGAAAGTCGACGATTCTATTGACCCAGTTTCCAGGTGAGGACACCGAGACCAGAGGCCAAGCATATGCCTGAGGCTGAACAGGCAGGAAGCTGAACCCTGTTTCCGCTGAGATGTCTGGGGACGTGCCCCATACACTTCACTCTGACACCATGCACCCTTCTCAAGGAGCACAGGCCAGGGAGCGCTAGCACTCGGAGAGGACGGCGCTGAAGCCTGGCCCTGGGAGGTGGGACTTTCTGGGCTCACACAGACCCAGCCCCTATCCTAGTCGGGAGTTCCCAGGCCACTCTAGCCCTCAGGAGGTGCCGGGGCCCCATGAGAGCGGCGACCTTGAGCCTGAGCTGTTGCTGGCGCTACCTCAGCTGGGCGGGGACCGGCTGTGGAGGAGTCTGGAGAATCCCTCGAGGTCACTGGGGGCTCCTCGGCTTCCAGCCTGGAGAGGGAGAAAGGATGGACATTGGGGTACAGGCACAGGGCTGGGCAGCGCTACACAGCGGGGCCTTGGGGAGTTGCGGCTTCAGTCACCAGTGTGAGGTGGCCGTTTTGTCTTTTGGGGGCGAGTGGATGTTGGGGTCTTTCCCACCTCTCAGTAATAGCTGGGAAACAAGACTGCAGCACCCCGTGATATGTTTAGCTTCCACACTAGTGAACTGTCACCCCCTCCCCAAGTTCTGTGGTTCCAATTCCCACTGGTCCCCATTTCTGCCCTGAGGTTCCCCTGTCTGGGGACGCACATTCAGCTTCCCAAAGGCTTGGTCAGCTCCAGGGTCCCGACAGGTCGCAACCAAGGCCGAAGGCGCCGAGCGGCAGGCGGTGGGGGTGGGGTCATAACAGCCTGCCCCCCATCCGCCCC